GGGGTTCTCAAGCATTACTGCCTATGACGAAGTAAATGTTCACAATTTCATGGCAATTCAAAATATTCCATCGTTTTGAAGAAATCTTTTGCAAAATACTTCGCTGCAGCTTATCTGCAAATAATTTATGTAGTTTTGCAGGGGGCACTTTACAGTGGCCCCCGCGGGGTCGGCGGGCCTGCTGTTGGGCCGGAGCAGGCAGGCCGCGGGGGCCTTTCGAAATAACGCGTCGATTCCAATCAATGCCCCCCTTCCCCTCTTTATCTCTCCCCCCCCCCCTCCCCTTTTCCGCTCCCCTCCAAATACCTACCGATCTAACGGTTTTGTTTGCTTTTGTTTCAGGTGAGTTTGGTGCCGCCGCCGCCGCTTTGGTCCGTTCCGCAGGAGGCGGCAGGACTCACGGTGACCTCCAGCCGTGTGTTTGGGTTCGCACGCGCGTTCTTCTGTTTTGGCCACCGACCAGCAACCCCTGCTCTAGTGCGTGGGCGGATGGCGCCTCGAAGGCTGCCACTACACGCGCGCCCCACTATTTTTATTTTGAAAGTTTGACGGACGAAAAGGCGAAAGGGGGCGGTGATTCTCTGGGGAGTAAGTTCAGCCGACTAGCCATATACGGAAAAGAGCCAACGAAGCAGTAGTTCAGGAGGACAATAACAAACAACAGTCGCGAACGTTGATGAGTACGTCTCGAGTGAGTGGAATGATTAAATATTGGCCCAGACGATGTGTGTATGCCTAATTTTCAGCTAGTGGCGCCTGAAAAAGAATCATTTCGCGACGTGTCGCATTGGCCATAGTATAGTGGGGCTGGATGGAAAACCCCTCCGGCGGCGGCACGGAGGATGTGGCGTGTCCCCTGGCGTCGGGAAAATGACAGGACTTGTGACAAGCATTCGCAAATCGTTATGAATTCCGGCCGACGGCGGCGGTACTCTATGTTTTGGCCCGGGAGGGGGGGGGGGGGGGGGGGGGGGGGGGGAGGGGGGGGGGGGGGGGGGGGGGGGGGGTCGGAGGTGTTTGTGTCTGTGGCAGACCTTCCGGTGTCAACGACCCTATCGCCGGTATCCGCGGTTTGTGGCGGTTGCGAAAGGGTCGCTTGAAAGAAGAGTAAAATGACTACTTATATGTAGATGGGTGTACTTTGGGCATACCAAGCAGTCACTCGCTGTACCGTACGCGTGCGTGCGGTTGCCCTGTGCCCGCGCCTTACGGGTCGAGCGAGTAGGCAACCCGCCCGCTGGGGGTGCGTACGATGCAGTGGGGGCCAACCTGCCTTTGAGTCAATGCGAAGATTTGCTGTGCGCCTCGAGCACCACGTGGATTTGTTCCCCCTTGCCTCTCTCTGCGACGCGATGCAAGGGGCTGACTGCGCCGGCCGTCTCCATCACTGGCGGGGCGAGGGCAGGACAGAAGGGCGTGTTCGCCTAGTCAGCACCCGACTCTGTCGCGGGGTAGGCCGCCGGGCGCTGGGACAGCAGCGCTCCCACTGTGTAATCCAATATTGTGGCATGCCACCCGGACTAGACTGGCCCGTTGGCAGGATCGTCGAGACGTAGATGGTGGGGGCAGTGAAAGGGGAATCTAGTGCGTCTGATGATATTAGGGCTGCGGGGGATGGGGAGAGGGAACATCTTCGGTTCCGTGTCAAGGTCACCTCTGCCCCCAAGACTCCCCTCCTCCTCCTCCCCCCCCCTCTCCACATTGGGCTGTGTTTCTCTTCCCCCCTGCGCGAAAAATGTTTGTGTGTGTGGAACCCGGAGGGGGGGGGGGAGGCACACAAGTATGAGCGCTCTGTCGCTTCCTCGGCGAGTGGATTGCGCCTACAATGTGTGGCGGTGACCGCACGTCATCGGGTTATCTTATCTGAGCGCCGGGATGGCGTATACTAGAGGGAGGAGGAAGTGGAGGTTGGCACAGGAGGCGGCCGGGCGGGCATTATTTGGCGCGCACCGCAGTGGGTCCTCTGTGTGGTCACTCGGTCACTCCCTCCAGGAGGACCTCCAGGATGCTCTGGGCGTGGCTGCGCAGCGCGCGACGTCCCCTGGAAACTGCTCCTCCCTGGAGGATTGAGGTGATTGTCCTGTTCTCGCTCGCGCGCTGCCCGCTGCCCCGGGGCGGATTTACGTCCGTCGTGCTCGATTTCACCCGCCCTGGCCCCGTGACGTCAATAGACCAATCAGGTGGGGACGCGGGCGGTTTTGGCTCCGCGGTGCTCCGGACCGGTCCATCGGGTCCCCCCCTCCCCCCCTGCCCTTTTCCTCCTCTCGCACGTGACGACGCCGAACGCCGAGGTCCTCGTCTGGGTCCTTCACGTCCGTCGCCGAGGTGCTGAGGGAGGAGCCAGCGCGGCCCCTGTCGTCGACGCTTTGTAAAAATAGCGCGTTTGGAAGGACGCCGCCGCCGCCCGCGCCGCCCCGAGGGACGTCGTCGGCGGTGGGGCGGGCGCGGCGCCCTTGCGGGGCGGACACGTCGTCGTCGTGGATGTCCTCGCCCAGGGGCTGCTCTGGGTCAAAGCGCGCGGCTAGTCGTGCGTGGGCGCTAGCGAGTGTTTCGCAGCCACGACGCCATGCCACGCCACGCGTCGTGAGTGAGCGAGAGGTGATCCGATGGAATGGCTGGTCTTGCCGAATGACTGACACACTTTTCCCTTCCACTCCAGATCGAATCATTGCCACAACCATCCAAGCAGCCTCCCCCGTCCCCTCCCTTCCCTCCCTCCCCTCCCTCTCACTCCGTCTGCCTCTCGCTCTCCCTATCCTCTCCTGTCTGGATCCGCCCCCGATGCCGCCGCCGCCGTCCCGCCGTCCCGCCCAGGATTCCGATCGACGGAGAGCAGGTTTCCGTCATCCTCCGGTCGCTTCCAGCCGCTGGGCTGGAGCGAAGCCCGGCGGAGGCCCCCTTCCCCTCCCCCCGAGACAAATGTATTCCAGACACTTTTGTGCTCGAGCCTTTAACGAGTTAAAAGGCCGGCGCAGGGCAGCCGGCCGGTGACCGAGTCTGGCTGGGCAGAACTGGTTCTGCCCTGCCCCTACCCCCCTCTTATCCCACTGCCCCCTCCCCCCGGTACATACGTACCCACCTATGGTGGCGCGTCAATGCCCGCCCCATTGGCGTAGCGGAGTGAGCACGGCGGGCGTTGTGCGCTGACACTCTGGCTACGCCACTCCTCGCCCTTCGAGGGTTGCCACGCGCTGTAAAAGTCAGGGAATTTGGGATAAATGTGGCTGGAACAGAGTGGCTTCGCAGTTCGGGTGCCCGCGAGACGACGGCAAGCGCAGCGTTGTGACTCTGGACACATTTTCTTAGTTTCAAGAAAATCCGTCTGTTTTTTTTTTTGTCAGGAGTATATGGCAGGAAATTTTAAAATTAAGATTCCGTGGCAACCCCGCCTCCGCGCCATGCCGTGCTCCTTCGCCCTCCTGCTCGTGCGCGTGCTTCTGCTCTGCGCTTGGCTGCGCCTCTAGGCTGCCCCCTCC